CATGTTTATCCATGCCACAACTAAACTTTGGTAAAGTGCAGCATGCGACTATATTTGGGGAAACAAACAAAACTGGCATGCCCCATAGTTGTGTCAATGAGCAAACAACTTCCTAACTATTGAATGCATTATTGTGATAGTCTGCAACTTATGTTTCACACATAAAGCAAAATTTATTGTAACGTTTCTTATTTTTATAGCATAATCAAGTTTCCAAAACATAAGTGGTTTAATATATGCTATCCAGCTTTAGAGAACATTCTTTAGACATTATATTAAGCATGAGAGTATATTTTGATATGTGATCAAGCTGGGTAAAAGACACAACATGAACAAATTTTCTTTAATTGTGGAAACCAGGACAATCTATATGCTCATTAGCTTAGGGTCTTGCTACGGTACTCTCAAACAACTGTGGGCCATCTATTTAATAAGATATGATGGTTTTGATCCCATATTACCTCATAATATATGAAATATTAATTTATTTATTTTATAAAAGAGGGTAATTTGGAAAAAAAAAGAATTGTTTTAGATAAAAAAAATCTTTTATTTTGATCTAATTATTGCATGAGATATGTTGGATTTAACAAAATCTGTTCGTTAATTTGGGAACTTTGGAACGTGACGGGACCTTTCCTGTGAAACGTGCATATCCTAACTACATGCGCGTGAGAATAAACAAACGTGACACATATATGATTTGTCCCTTCCGTTGTATTATGATGTACGTCTTTTGGTAAAGAAAGTACTCTGTTTTGATCTATATGTATTATGTCATGTGCTTGTAGTCTTGTCATACGGGGGAAGGACTTCTTGTAGTGTGTGTCGCAACATATATACAACAACGTTTACTACCTTCCATGTAGATAAAATCCATCGCACCTTGCAGCCATGAGTGGAACCTGTTATATGTTAAACACATATGACGTACAAGTGTACCACATCAGGAACCAGAGCACGTACGTATATGCACATCATGAAACCCTGCGTCTGTCTGATGATGTTGACGGATTTTTGCCACATTGCACAGCTGCCAAGAAACCATAGTCTTGCATGCACTGCCTCGTATCCGAGGAATTTTATGGGATTTTTTTCCTTTTCTGGGTTATTTTATTTATTTAATTATTAAAAAACAAAAATCAATGACTGAGATTAGTTTGAGCTATTATTTTCTAAGGAGTAACCGCAGTACCGTAGCAAAGTTCTTAGCTTAGCCTATTTGGATCACAGCTCGATTATTATAATCTAAATTATGTATAGAATTATTATAATTAGAATTGTGGGTTATAATAATTAGAGTGTTTGGGAATAAGTTATGATGATTGATTATGGTTGGTTAATATGAGAATTTCCTATCTTATCCTTTATAGTTTGGTATAAAGTTGGACAATCACATGGGAGCGAGTTAGACTTTAATTTCAGCATTCATAATCCCTTATAACCTGGTCTCATATGGATTATGTGATTATGGTAATCAAGAGTTTTGATTATAATAATTCATATAATCAATCATGTTTCGATCATAATCAGACTATATAATCTGACTATTATAATTAGAGGGGTATCAAACAGGGCCTTAGTTAGTCACTACTAGTCCATCAACATCTCGCATAAGCTAGAATTTTAAGAGATATAAGTATTGGTTATTGTTTTATACATCTGACTAATAAAGAATCTTTTATATTAATTTGTAAGTTTTTTTTCTCTTTGTTTATTTTCTAAAACAATAGATATTCTGTAGCCAATATCTAGTTATCATAAACTTATTAATTACTTTTTTGCAAGGGACATATCTATATGTTTTTTTTCCATATTCAATTTTTTTGCATGGAGTCTATATATTTTAAATATGCAATTAGTTTGACACCTTGCCATTAACTATGGTGGTCCTTGTTGCATCATATACCTTATAATGTCATGAATCTAAATTTTGAATTTTTAAATTTCATTATTATTGACTCCTACATACTTTTATGTGCTCAAGTTGAAACTCTTATGCTTATTGTATCTTTTATTAATTCTTCTTTTTTGCTCTTTATTTAAAATAAGAATTTTAGGCCGTAGAGTACATTCTTAAATACTACAATAGCATAAGAAATCATTTGAAACCTACACCATGTCACTTAAGATAAAGTGATAGAACTTAGAGGTGAGACCTCAAATGGGGTAGCAGTCTAACTCAAGAGAATTTTAATAGTTAAGCCTTTTAATGCTCGATTTTTTATGCTAAAGTAATCTTAAAGAACCGGAAAAATATAGCCACAAGTGGTCTCCCACACTTCTCAAGATGATTGATTTTTTTCAATCAAAGATATATGTGCCGTTATGGTAATATTATCAATACAAACATGTCAAACATTTTAGTTAAAATATATAAATATATTTGAAGTAACAACCTATATAAGTTATATGTCATTGTTAGTTGGTTACTAATATGGTTTTAAACAATTTATTAGTATCATTAATATATCAGTTGTCAAGGAAAAAATTTTATATGATAAACATAACATGTATATAAATCCCTCATGCATGTTGGCACAAGGTGTATGTTTGCATTAAACAAATATTACACTACCAAAAACTGGGTGTTTGCCGAGTGCTAAAATATTTGCCGAGTGCATTCTGTCGGGCACTCAGTAAAGAAGCTATTTACCGAGTGCTGTCACAAAAACACTCGGCAAAATAATTGCACTCGGCAAAAGAGGCAAAAAACACTCGACAAAGTTTGGCACTCGGCAAACGAGAAAGAAAACACTCGGCAAAGATAAGTTTGCCGAGTGCAGACACTCGGCAAAGATAAGTTTGCCGAGTGCCATGATCTAACACTCGGCAAACTTAGCTTTGCCGAGTGTCCAAGATTCGACACTCGGCAAACTCGGCACCTTATAAACTTGCGCGGCCACCGCCCCCTCCCTCCCATTCTCCCTCGCGCCGCCCCTCCCTCTCTCCCTCTCTACCCCAGCGTTGCCCCTCCCTCTCTCCCCTCCCTCCCTGAGCACGGCACCCCTCCCTCCTGGATTCGGCCGGCGGCGGCACCCCTCCCTTCCCTCCCTCCCGGGTCCGGCACGGTGCCCCTCCCTCCCCTCCCTCCTGGATCCAGCGGGCGAGGAGGAGCCCGGATCTGGTGGCGCGGGCGCGGCCGAGGCGATATGGGCGGCGCGGGTGCGGCGACGCTCCTCCTCTAGCCTCAGTTCCCTGCGGTGGCGTTACTCCTCGACGTCTGCGTCAACTCCGGCGACGAGGGAGACCATATCCGGCATCACGGGCCTCACGGCGGTGGGGGAGGCCAGATCCGGCGTCATGGTGGCGGGTGAGGCCGGATCCGACGTCGGGCAACCGGATCCAGCGGCGGGCGGGCGGATCCCGACGGTCCGGTGAGGATGCGGTCACCGACGAGCAGCTGCGGCGGGCGTGGTGGTGGCGGCGGACATGGTGGCAACGGGCGTGGTGGCAGCGGTGGTGGTGTGGTGGCGGCGGCGGGGCGAGCCGCAGGCGGGCGGCGGTGGGGGTTTTTTTATATTATTGAGATATTTTTTGCCGTGTGTCGGGTTTAGCACTCGGCAACGTCTTTGCCGAGTGCTCGACAAAAAACACTCGGCAAATACATCTTTGTTGAGTCTGTGTTTGCTGAGTGCAACACTCGGCAAAGACTTTACCAAGTGTTTTTTGCCTTCGCCGTGGGCCGTGGGCACATGGCAAACCTGTGCATTCCGGTAGTGTTAATATGTGGGTAATGTAGAAACATATATATGCTCTATGGTTATTTAAATATTTTTTGTAATAGAAGATGCTCATGATTTAGATATAGTTTCGACGAAATATTTATTTTTTCTAATAATGACTAGAAAATTGGGCTAAGTAAATTATCTATCATAATAGGAGGATGTAAATTTAGGTCTGCTTTTGATCATGTTTCTTAATGGCATGGGTGGATAGTTTAAATATAGTCATAGGCTGCTTTATATTGTTTTGTGCAATAGGAGAGGTGGGAATTTATTTAGAAAATATAATGGACCATAGCTACTACTATCAATTGTGATCAAACATTTTAGTCAAAATATATAAACATATTTGAAGTAACAATCTATGCAAATTATATGTCATGGTTACTAATATGGTTTTAAACAATTTATTAGCACCGCTAATGTATGAGTTATTACGGAAATATTTTATGTGATGAAACATAACATATATATTTATCACTCATACATGATGGCACGATGCGTATATTTACTTTAATCAAATCTTAATATATTAATACTTATAGAATTGAGTAATATAGAAACATGTATATTCTCTATGGTTATTTAGACAACTTTTTGTAATCGAACATGTTGATGATTTAATGTAGTTTCGAGAGGCTATTTATTTTTTCTAATAATGACATGAAAATTGGTTTACTTAAATTATCTATCGCAATAGGATGACATGGGTAATTAGAAACAAATAAGTCTACTTTAGATTATGTTTTTTAAAGGCATGAGTGGGTTACTTTATGTTGTTTTGTGCAGTAGGAGAGGTGGGTATTTATTTAGAAAATATAATAGATCGTGGCTACTACTATCAATTGTGATTAGGTCAGATATTTCTAATTTTGTGTGAATTTATAGGATCTATTTTTTTTCCCTACCAGGATTGGTGAGGATTAACACTGCATAGAGGCTCGGCCCTCTAGTTAGAATTTCTAGTATTGCAATAGTCAAACGATTATTATCGGTGATGATGATTAGAGTTCACCGAATTAAAGGCCAGATGTTTCTAATTATTGTGAGAATTTTTAGGACTTATCTTTTTTCTAGCATGTCTTATGAGAATTAACGTGGTGTCTCTATTGGGGCCTCTAATTAGTAATAGTAAGAAGTAAGATATTATTTTAATGGTAGATCCATTCTGCTCATTAAGTAAATGCATTTCGCTACAACTTACCATTTCACTGATAATTTTCCACTAATCATGTAATTGTACAGAAGGAGCGACATCCAAAAGACACGACTATAATGTCTTACTCAAAGCCTAGTGAGAGGACCAGTCATTGTTCTCCCAGTCCTAGCAAGACCCAGGAAAGGTCGCATGCAAGGATGTTATCACAAACAACCCTTGATTCTGAACTTAATGCAGAATATGAAGAATCAGGTAATTCCTATGACTACTTCAAGTTGGTTAAAAAACAACAGACCACCCAAAGTGAACCTGAACAACTAGGGCATCCAGAGAAGGTCATAGCGTACTTGCAGCAGATTCAGAGAGCCAAGTTAATCCAACCGTTTGGTTGCTTGTTGGCCCTTGATGAGAAGAGCTTCAATATTATTGCATTCAGTGAGAATGCACCTGAAATCTTGATGGCAATCAGTCTTGCAGTACTAACTATTGACGACGATGCTCCAAAGATACAGATTGGCACCAATGTTCAGTCCATTTCTCTGGCCCTAGTGTCGCCGCCCTGCATAAGGCACTCAAATTTGATGATGTTTCATTGCTGAATCCTATTATAGTTCAATGCAAGACCTCAGGCAAGCAAATGTATGCCATTGTCCATAGGTCTACCAGTTGTCTGGTGGTAGATTTGGAGCCTATGAAGCATACTGAATTCCCTTCCATTGCCACTAGGACTTCGCAGTCTTACAAGCCTGCTACCAAGGCAGTCTTCAAGATGCGGTCACTACCAGGAGGAAGCATGCAGATCCTATGCAATACTGTGGTTAAGGAAGTGTTTGACCTTACCGGTTATGATAGGGTCATGGCTTACAAGTTCCATGAAGATGACCATGGTGAGGTCATTGCGGAGATCACAAAACCTGGTCTTGAGCCTTATCTTGGTCTACACTATCCAGCCACTGATATTCCTCAAGCTACCAGAGTTCTTTTCATGAAGAGCAAAGTATGGATAATTTGTGATTGTCGAGCAAATTCTGTGAAGACAATAGAAGCTAAAGGACTCCCCTTTGACATAAGTCTATCTGGCTCAACTCTTAGAGCTCCACACAGACACAGTTGTCACCTTGAGTATATGAGGAACATGAACTCAATTGCACCACTTGTCATGGCTGTAGTAATAAATGAGAATAGAGAGGATGATGATGTCAAGCCTGAAGAACCTCCAAAAGAACTCAAGAGTAGGAGACTATGGGGTCTCCTTGTTTGCCACCATGAGAGCCCTAGATATATCCCGTTTCTAGTGCGATATGCTTGTGAGTTCTTGGCAGAAGTATTTTCTGTCCATGTGAACAACGAACTTCTGTTGGAGAAGCAGATATGAGAGAAAAGCATACTTGATGTACAGACAATGCTCTCTGATATGTTGTTCCATGACGCATCTCCCCTGAGCATCATATCTGGGAGTCCAAATATCATGGACCTTGTTAAATGTGATGGTGCTGCTCTTTTGCATGGTGACAAAGTGTGGCGGCTAGGCATGGCTCCAACGGAGCCTCAGATACGTGATATCGCCTCATGGCTATCAAAGGTCGTTCATAGGGATTCCACCGGTTTGAGTACCGATAGCCTTATTGATGCTGGATATCCAGGGGAAGCTTCCCTTGGTGATAGGATTTGTGGAATGGCAATGGCTAAGATTGCCCCAAATGATATTGTTTTCTGGTTTAGGTCACATACAACTGCTGATATCAAATGGGGTGGTGCAAAGCATGATCCATTTGACCAGGATGACAACAGAAGAATGCACCCTAGGTTGTCCTTCATGGCATTCCTCGAGGTTGTCAAGATGAAAAGCCTGCCGTGGAATGACTATGAGATGGATGCTATCTGCTCATTGCAGCTCATACTTAGAGATAGGATGAATGGTGCAACAAAACCAACTGGGGCAGCTGGTTTCGATAACCTACAGATTGATGATATCAAACTTGATTGTCTTGATAAATTGCATATGGTTACAAGTGAAATGGTTCGTCTGGCGGAAGCAACAAGTGCTCCAATTTTGGGTGTAGATGTTAACGAATTGCTCAATCAACAGAACTAGAACAATGTTATCAAGCCAACCAAGGATTCTTGTTTGGATAGCCAGGATGGTGGTCATCAGTATCACAAGCTAGATGGGCTTGCTGAATTGCAGACAATGACAAAAGAAATGTCTCGTCTGATGGAAACGGCATCTGTTCCAATATTTGCAGTTGATGCAAATGGGTTGGTCAATGAATGGAACCTTAAGTTAGTGGAGCTAACATGATTGACAGTGCAAGAGACTGTAAGAAGGAACATACTTACCCTGGTAGAGCAATCATCTTTCCAAGTTGTACAGAAAATGCTATACTTGGCTCTGAAAGGTGTGTAGATTTTTTTTTCTCAATAGCTATTTCAGTCTATTTACTATTCAGCTATTTTTAGTTTTATGCTTATTCAGCTATTTTAACTGCTACATTTAATCTTCGTGATTAGGCATGCCTTAATTATTTGATCCCACAGAAAAAATATATACTTGATAATTAGTGGTTTTCCACATTTGCTTTATACAAACATTTCACTGATATATATAACAGGCAAAGAAGAGAAGGAGGTTCGATTTGAAGTGAAAACCCACAGTTCAAGGGCAGATGATGGGCCAGTTATCTTGGTTGCAAATGCTTGTTCCAGCCGTGACATTTCTGGCCATGTAATTGGGGTGTTCTTTGTGGCCCAAGATATGACTATTCATAAGCTGGCCATGGACAAATTTATTCGAGTTGATGGAGACTACAAGGCAATCATTCACAACACGAACCCACTCATTCCTCCTATATTTGGTGCTGACCAGTTTGGGTGGTGCTCCGAGTGGAATGCCGCCATGACTAAGCTTACTGGATTCCACAGAGATGAGGTGCTCGATAAGATGCTTGTTGGTGAAGTCTTTGATAGTAGCAATGGCTCCAGTCTTTTGAAGAACCATGATTCAGTTGTACGCCATTGCGTCATTATCAACTATGCGCTGGCTGGTGAACAAACAGATAAGGCCACATTTGGCTTCTACAACCGAAATGGGAAGTACATTGAATGTATTCTGTCAACTTATGGAAAAGAAAACACAGATGGCATTGTTGATGGAGTATTCTGCTTCATACATGTTCCTAGCCAGGAGCTGCAACATGTACTGCATGTGAAAGCAAGCCTAGGAGCAAATGACCTTAAGACAGATTATAGATGTGCAACGGGCCGGCACGACCTGATGGGGGTCGGGCTGACAAGGCACAATGTGCCCTGCGGGCCATGCCGCCATGGCTTCGTGCCTGGCCGACGGCCCAGGCACGGCCTGCTGGGCCGTTTTTCGTGCCGGGCCGGCCCAAGGCCCACTACATCGACAGAGAGAGAGAGGGGGGAGGCCAGGGCGTTAGGCTACTGTCGTTGCTTCGGAAGGCCATGGATGACGCGACCTCTCCATCCACGGAGGATGAGCGATGAGGAGGCCGGATCCACGGAGAACGAGGCCGGATCCATGAAGAGGAGGCATGTGGAGGAGCAGCAGCGCGTGGCGGTGAGGAGGAGGTGGCCACCATCGGCGGAGGCGGGTTGGAGTGGAGGTGGGATTCGACGAGCCGCGGGGAAGCAGGAGCTCAAGGCGTCGGCGGCCGGCGGGGCGAGCTCGAGCACGCCGCGCTCGCACCCAAGGCGCGGCCTCGTGGAGGGACGGGAGGAGAGGAGCCCAAGGTAGGTCGCGGATGGCCGCCGTGGCGTTCTGCAGCTTGTGCGCGAGGAGGAGGCGGGTGACTGTAGGGCGGAGAAGCAGGTCAACGGCGGGGAAGGAGAAGGTCGCGTCCACGCCGCGCGTGTGCGGAGTCGCGTTGCGTCCGCGCATGTGCGGTGCGGGGAACGGGAGGTGGCAGCGGGGAGGGGGAGGGGAAGGGAGTTAGGGTTCGGGGGTGGGAATGTGCCAGCGTGGGGCTGCGGTTGCACGGGCCACGGGGCCATATGAGGAGGGGGGAGGCGGGGACGTTGGGCTAGCCACGTTGGGTCGCGCCGGGCCACGGGGAGGGAAGGAGGAGTGAGGAGGGGGAGGGGGACCGACGTAGGCTGGGCCGTGTCGTGCTAGCCCACGGGCCTGAGCAGCGGCCCAGGCACGGCCTGCTCCCTCGGGCCAGGCCAGCCTAGGCCCGCACGTCACCGGGCGGGCCGTGCTCGTGTCGGGCTAAAAAAACGGGCTTCGTGCCGTGTTGTCGTGCATCGGGCTGCATGGACATTTATAAGACAAATGAAGGCTTTTTCCTACATGAGATATGACATCAACAATCCTCTCTCAGGTCTACTTCACGCCACAGAAGCATTGAAGAGCATAGGTTTGAATGAAGAGCAGATGAGACACCCAATGTTGCAGATTGTTGTCACTGCCAGCTCAACAAGATACTTGCCGACATTGATCACGATAAATTAACTGACGAGTATCAGCCTGTTCATTTCAGCTGAAACGATCGTGGATTATTACTGCTGGCTGATTTGGTGTGAGAGAAAAATACTGTTCTGGCTTATAATCTATGATCGTTTACGACCAAGCGAACAGGATGTATGTATACATACTTATTTTCTGTTATCCTCTCGATCTCCGGTACGGAGATATCCGACCACTTACTATTGTTGCCTAGCACACACTAGCGATGCCGACCACAAATTGTCGTTGTCGACCACACACTATGGCTAGAGGTAGAAGAAGGAAGGGAGAACAGAGCATACACATACAATAGAGACACCAGCGTTGGCCGGAGCTCTGTATAAGAGATAGCAAATCTGAACTCGCTATTTACTGAGTTGCAGTGGCAAACTATATATACAACCCTATCCATCTAGTTTTAGTACAATTTGCCATGTTTTCTGATTTATTAGATGTGACAAATAGGCTGACTTTGACGCTTTGCCCCACTGTGGCTACAAGATCACGGTAGGTGAGCCATTTGGCGCTTTGCCCTTCCTATAGCTACTACTGAAAGGCAACAAATAGGGAGCCCTTTTCGACGCCGCCTTCACCTGCTGCGCATTCACATAAGAGATGCAGAAGATTATCTAACAATTCTTCCTCTAATCCTTCTGCTACCCTTGAACCCCCCCATGCCGATCATCTTCTTCAGCTCCATGAGTCGAAGACGGCCGAGCGGCTTGGTGAGGACGTCCGCGAGTTGCTGACCAGTTTTGACGAACTCGATGATGATCTGCCCTCCATCGACAGTCCCTGAGAAAGTGGAACTTCACGTCGATGTGCTTGCTCTGGTCGAGGAGAACAGGATTCTTCGCGAGGGCGATGGCGGGCTGGTTGTCCACCATCAGTACTGGTGGGTGAGTTTCCACACCGGTCAGCTCGCCCGATGGCAAAGCCAGACCACACAACTTGGCACGCCATTGCTGGCTACCGCTTCGTACTACTGCCTCGTCGTGAAACGATTACCACCACCTTCTGCTTTTGCCGACGACCATAAAATTGGAGCCGACCCGAGAAAGACGAGCACGCCAGAGGTGCTCCGTCGTCCGTCGATGTTCTTGGCACGCCGTTGTGGCCGCCGCTATATACTCTGCCTCACACGTAGACAGCGCCACCACCTTCTGTTTCAGCAACAGCCATGAAATTGGAGCCGACCCGAGGAAGACGAGCATGTCAGAGGTGCTTCGTCGTCCATCGATGTCCCCCGCCATGTCTGCATCGCTGAACACAGTGAGTTGCAGCCTGTTTCCGCCTGTCTTGGGGAAGATGATCACTTGATCCACCATCCCCTTGACGTAGCGCAACAGCCGCTTCACCATAGCCCAGTGATCCTCTCGAGGATTCTCCATGAAGCGACTGACGTAGTCCACGGCGAACGCAATATTCGGCCTCGTGTGAACTAGGTAGTGTAGATCACCGACGATGCTCCGGTAGAGTGTTGCATCTACCTTCACCATAGTACTGGCCTTTGTCAGCTTCGGCCGCTCCTCCATCGGAGTTACGCATGGCTTGCACTCAGCCATGCCACTCCGCTCCAACAGCTTTGAGGCGTACGCGCTGTGACCAAGCGTGAGTGCCTCCTTCCCCTGTCTCACCTCGATGCCAAGGTAGTAGGAGAGCACATCGAGATCGCTCAGTCGAAAATGAGCCACCATCTTGCGCTTGAAACTGCCGATGTCCTCCGCACGCGCGCCGGTGACGATCAAGTCATCCACATACACGTCGATGACAAGCTCCTCCTTCCTCTGTTGCCGCGTGTAGAGCGCATGCTCGGTTGCACACCGCTAGAACCCAAGCTCGCCCAGCGTGGCGTCAAGCTTGACGTTCCATGCTCGTGGGGCCTGCCGTAGCCCGTAGAGCGCCTTGTGCGATCGGAGCATCCTATGCTCTGCTCCCATGACGGCGAAACCCGAAGGTTGCCTGACAAAGACCGTCTTTGCCAGCTCGCCGTTGGGGAAGGCCGATTTTATGTCCAGATGATGGACGCACCAGTCCTTCGCTGCTGCTAGGGCTAGTAGCAAATGGATAGACTCCATTCGTGCTACTGGCGGAAAGACTTCCTCGAAGTCGATGTCCTCGCGCTGAACAAAGCCTTGGGCCATGAGATGAGCCTTGTGCTTGACAATGGCGCCGTGCTCGTCCCGCTTGACCTTGTACACCCACTTTAGGCTGATTGGATGGCATCCTAGAGGTGGATCGACGAGCTCCCAAGTCTTGTTTTCCTCAATCGCCTTCATCTCCTCCAGCATCGCCCGTCGCCAATTTCTATCGCGCTCGGCCAGCACGAACGTGGGTGGTTCCTCTGCACTAACGAGCAGCAGCTCTTGGTCACTAAGTAGCCGACCCACCAGGCCTGAGGGCCCTGTGCCACCGATGATGTCATCTAGCCTATGGAATCCTACCTCCTCACCTTCGTGGAAGGCATCCATGAACTCATTGATGTTTCTTGGAGGTGAGGCAAACTCGATCGGCATCGATGGAGTTCCCTGTTCCACCGGAGTGCTTGGCACAACACCTAGAGTGCTTAGCACCCCGGTTGTAGTGCTCGGCACTACTCCTGGATAGCTCATCATCACTTCTGGAGTGGTCTGCACCCCTCCCAGTGTGCTCGGCACCCATCTTATAGTGGTCGGCACTAATGCAAGACCCCTCGGTTCTGCTATGGGAGTGCTCGGCACTCATCCTGGAGTGGCGCCACCACCAGGACATCCTGACTCCACTCCTAGAGTGCTCGACACCCCTCTCGGAGTGCTCGGCATCCCTCCTGGAGTGCTCAACTCTGTCACTAGAGTGCTTGGCACCCCTCCCGAGTGCTTGACACCTCTTCCCTAGCGTCTCCACCACCGTGGATGACCAAGTGCTAAACGATGAAGGTGCTGGTGAAGCCGCCAGCTTCCCCCATGCTCGGACTGTTCTAGTCCCAAGCTGCCTTCTCGTTGAACATGACGTCGTGAAAGACAAGTACCTTGTCTCCATGTGGGTCATAGAGCCAGTACACCTTGGTACCCTCCGCGTAGCCTAGGAACACCACCGGTGTGTTCCTGTCCTCCAGCTTGGTGAGGATCGGCTTCGTCTTCCTGACGTGGCCGATGCAGCCGAATGTCTAGAGGAAGGACACGCTCGGCTTGCGCCTATGTCAAGCCTTGAACGGCATCTTGCCCTTCAGGGCCTTGGTGGGAGCGCGGTTGAGGATGAACACCGCCGTGGTCACCGCCTCACCCTAGAACCTTATCGACATGCCTTTGGCCTTCATCATAGATTGAGCCATGCCGACCACCGTCTGGTTCTATCACTCCACCATGCCATTCTGCTGTGGCGAGTATGGCATGGTGTGGTGTCATACCATACCTTGATCCATGCAGTATGTAGCGAACTCCACCGAAGTGAATTCGCCGCCGCGATCAGTCCTCAGCACACGGAGCTTCTTGCTGCTCTCGGCCTCTGCACGCATCTTCAACTTCTTGATCGTCATCGCCGCTTTGTCCTTGCTCGTCAAGAGTTGCAGCCACATGTAGCGACTGCAATCATCCATGAGCAGGAGGAAGTACCACCGACCACCATTTGTGGCTGGCATGATCGGCCCACAGAGCATCCTCCTCGCGATACTTGACCGCCATTAGGAACGCAGCCTCCTCTGCTTCCTGGCCAGGCAGCTGTCACACATAGCTTGCCTCCGTGCTCGATGTGGGGTAGCCCTCGGACCATCTTCTCCAGCCGACCAAGCGCGTCGAAGCTGAGATGTCCGAACCGGCATGCCACAGCCATGGTTTCTCGGTGTGCCTTGCCACCAGGCACACCGGTTGCTCTACCTTTAGATCAATGAGGTACAACCAGTTCTGGGACCTCTTCACCTTGGCAAGAAGTCGATGCTCTCGGTCCCTGATCCTAAGGACTCTATCCTTGATCAGTACCACGCTACCGCGCTCATCCAGCTGGCCAATGATGATGATGCTTGAACGCAGCACTGGGATGTAATATATATCCGTTAGCGCGCGGTGATTCCCGTTCTAGCACCTGAAGATGATGGTGTCGCGCCCTCGGATAGCCACCCTTGAGCCATCACCAAACTTCACCATACCGGTAACATCGTTGTTGAGCTCAAAGAAGGCTGCCTTGGAGCCCGTCATGTGGTTGCTGGCACCAGAGTCCAGATACCACCGTTGCTCCTGCTTGCCGCCCACACGTCCGAGGTAGACTTGGGCACGCGGTTCGTCGAGGTTGACAGCCTTCAGGGCCTTCCTAGGTCCTTCCACCGTCGTCACTTCTCCCTTCTCCTCGGCCTCGACGTCGTGCAGTGCATAGAATGTCGCCATCAAGATAATGGCCTCATCATCATCATCATCAGCTTGCGCCAGATGAGCTTCAACCTTCTTCTCCTACTTGCGATTTGGGCACTCCCGTGCTCAATGGCCCATATTCCCGCAGCACCGATAGGCATTGGGGTCGACCTGCTTCTTCTTCTCTAAAAAAGCCTTGCCGCGGCGCTTGCCATCACCACCATGGCTGGAGGAAGCTACCCTGGAGTTCCTCCGAGCCATCCACTCCTCCTCTATCAGTAGCAGTTTGCCGCTGTCCTTCGTTGTTGTCGCCTGTTCCAGGTGCTCATCCACCGCCCGTAGATGGCTTGTCACATCCTTAATGGTGAGGGTGGACAAGTCCAGCATCGTCTCTATAGAGGGAGCGATCTAGATGTACTTTGACGCACGGAGTGGAGGTATTTAGAGACCACCTCCTCTTCATCGATGGTGACGCCGTGGCTCTTCAGCTTGCTGATGAGCATCTATAGGTGGAGAGAGAAATCCTCCACCATTTTACCATCCTTGAACTTGAGGTTTGCGTACTCTACTTGCTTCAGAAGCTGGGCCATCGCCTTCTTTGCGCGGTTGGAACTGACGCGCATCGCTGCAATATCCTCCCACGCCTCCTTAGTAGAGCTCTTTGCCCCCAATGGCTCCCTGTACTCCACCGGTACAGCAGCGATGATAGCCTCCAACGCTAACATGTCATCTTCTTCATTATCGGTGCCTTTGTCAACAGCATTCCAGAGCTATCGGGCTCTGAGCTTGACCTTCATGGTCACCGACCACTCTCCATAGTTGGTGCGAGTCAGCATCGACCAACTGGTGCCGCTGACCTCCCGCACCGTGTGAACAATGACCTCCTATCATGGCTGAGCAGCCACTGCTATCGCCCATCTCCGAACCGTGAGTCATCGCCAGTTGTTAGTCCGGCGACGGCGTTTGTACGGCTTCGATACCACTTGTTAGCCCCTCGATCTCTGGTACGGAGATATCTGACCACTTACTAGTGTTGCCGAGCACACACTAGCGATGCCGACCATGAACTGTCGTTGCCGACCACACACTATGGCTAGAGGTAGAAGAAGAAAGGGAGAACATAGCATACACACACAGCAGAGACACCAGCGTTGGTCAAAGCTCTGTATAGGAGATGGCAAATCTGAACTCGCTATTTACTAAGTTGCAGTGGCAAACTATATATACAACTCTATCCATCTAGTCCTAGTACAGCTGCCATGCTGCTACAGTTACTAGATGTGACAGCAGGGCTGACTTTGGCGCCTGCCCCTGTTGTGGCTACAGTGCAACAGCAGGGAGCCCTTTTCGGCGGTGCCTTCTCCTGCTGCGCATTCACATAAGAGATGCAGAAGATTATCTAACATTTTCAACTCTTCTTGTTTTTTCTATTTCTATCTACTATATAGGTTCTTGTATCAATTTGTAGCCTCCTTTGTTGTTTCTCAGCCCTTAGACCTAGTAAATTGATGGTACTACTCACTCTTATATTTATTTTCCATAGGTCGTTTTGCTTTGAGCTGGAGATGGTTGAATTTGTATTGCAAGATGTGGTAGAGGGTGTTGTAAGTCAAGTACTGACAGCTTGCCAGGACAAAGACATTGGAGTCCTTGTAAACCAGTTAGAGGGATTTATGAAGGAAAAACTTTATGGTGATGGAATTCGACTCCAACAGATTCTCTCTGACATTCTATTTATTTCAGTGATGTTCTCTATAGTTGGGGGCTATGTTGAGATTTCCTACAACCTCACCAAGAACAACATTAGCAAAAACCTTGACCTAAAACTTAGGTGAACTTATCCACAAATTTTGCCTTCTTGTTACATTTGTTTCTGTATAAGAGAGTAAGAGTCCAAATGCTTAATCATATTACTTTTTTGTGTGTTTACGGTTTTGCAGGATCAAACACAAGGGATTAGATTTCCCTAGGGAAATCTTGTCAAGAACTTACAAGGATGACATCAAAGATATGTCAGGGGAGGGTTTGAGCCTTGTAGTTTCAAGATACATTTTGAAGCTTATGAATGGTGACATTCGTTATGTAAGGAAAGTTGGCACGTCAACTTTCATCCTCATGACTGAACTTGCTTCGGCTCCTGCAGCCATTGGACAATGAAGCTAGTGCAACAAGACGCTATATCAAATGGTATGTGACATGTTTTTCTCTTCATTATGATTGCATAGAAGAAGCCATTGCACATGCAAAACTAAACCTTCACTGGTCACTACCACATCTCCATGAATCTATATGCATTGCTTGCTTACTGGATTATATTTTAACACTGAAAGGCCTACATATTTGTAAAATCTAGGCATAAGAATAACGAACCTCTATGAGCTACTGGTTTAGATCTTCTTACATTTCTTGATTTCTGCTCTATTCCTCGAAGAAGGGATAATGCTTGCAAGTTTAGCCTTTGATGGAGAAATAACCAAAACCAAATTTGTAGGACTCAATGATATCTACAACTTCGCAGTTGATACCTTATTCATTTAAAATCATTTAGGGGGTCAAATAATCATTTCAAAATTAGGTAAAGTGAATAATATGAGGAGAATATTTGTGCCCTTTAATCACAAGTGACTTTGTAGTGGAATGGTTAGGGCAGCTACGCGTGAGACCTGAGGTCACGGTTAGAACCCCCACGGCCGCACATGCGTGAAAAAAAATTATTTGTGATTATGCAAATCTAATGATTACTGTTGTAGGAGTATAATCGTATATACATAAAACCTTTCATTACATTGTTTTCTAGCAAAAAATTACAGGGTATAATCCTCAATTCCTTTGGTTCATGCAGGCTTGTTGTTGACATGAGCTTGTTTCATTTGATTTGTATGGAAACAATAATGACTTCGATGTCTGGAGGATGGAATTTACAACAGCCAACAGGGTTTGACTTGGGAAAAGGAGTACTTGTACGGTTGTTTGTCACAAATGGTTTGTGTATTAGTACTATTATAAAATTCAAAAAGCTTATTGTACTATGCAAGAGGTTTGTCGAAAAAGTTTGAAAAGTTGTATAAGATTTGGTTGTGTAATACTATAATCAGTTGGGGCTCCTTGCACCTCCTGATTCCTAAAAAAGATTCAGATGTAATCTTCTTTTATTCCAAAAAGGGTGATGTCTATGCAGTATACATCCATTCATGTTTATGTGTTACATTCAAAATATCAGATTAGCTTGGTCTCCCTCATTCATTTGCTCCATTTAATTTTTCACACGTCATAATTGACACCCTATTGAAGGGAACGGGTATGCTATGCTACAACAAATAAATCTAGTGTGTTCAACTAAGATATCATGCGAGTAGAAGACTATAAATTCTTACCACAAGACAAGCTACATAGTGGAACAAGAGTTGTAACAACTTGGTCCAACGTCGTTTGTGTCAATGAAGTGGAAGTAGATGTTCAACTTTGCTCCCTTGCAGCAGTCTCACGTGAGGCTGTTTCATTCGACCACCTCATTTATTTTCATCGCCAATCAAGACATGGATCGGTATCCTATTTTGACCCACATATGGATCTTATCCATAGTGTGTATGATTGTCTCTTGTATAGTACATCACAAACAATCTCCCACTTGTATAAAGTCAATCATCATGCAAATATTCCAACCCCCTGAAGTGTGTGGCCTGTTAGGTTTATGTGTAGATAGCCATGACCAAAAAAACCATTTGTGAGACATCAATCAATTGTGACACCTAGCAAACATATTGAATCTTGCCTACATAGAAAGATCATATCCGCTAAACCTTAATATACACACTTCTTGATCCTTTTGCCACACAATACCAATCAAAATCAAGTTGAGATTTATGCCAACCTTGTGATACCTCAATGATTCACTAGATCTTGTAGTGGATGACAACTCATGACTAATACTTTAGTCACATCTTAATTAACTCTTTAAATCGTATTGGCATAGGAACCATATAGAGGTAATTTTGTTGCTGTCAAGTAATGAAATTTGGCTTTGTCGTGGTGGAAAAAAGGAACCATATAGAGGGGCCTAGAGATATCTCTAATTTTATCTAGGAGGGGCAAATTCCATTTGATCCACTCATTTCCCATTCTATGTTTTATGGTACACCCAAATACTACTTTTGTAACTACCCAGTTACAAAGTTGCATTTGGCAGCCCAAAAATGCAACCCTACACACAATGAGAAACAATGGCGATCTTAGGTCTAAGGATAAAGAAGGTATGGCATTTGAGAGCACTGGATGACACATATTAGCATAACAATCCTAGCAACATCTCGGTGTGAATCAATACAACACCATAATCTCTATCACATGTCCATACTATTGATTTTATACAGCTATATCTATGATCTATCAAATATGATAATCAATCAATGCATTTTTTAGTATAAAATCATTTTTTCCATACAAGGACATAATATTAGGGTTATTTTTAATAACATTTTAAAAACAAAGAGCGTCATGAACAAGTCAATACTTGCCAATTGACATAAAAAAGCAATTTAAGGAATCTAATAATACTTTATTCCAAACACACAAAAATAAGACGTCATACAATCATCTCCCACTCACACTAAAGTCAAACATGTAAGTATCTAATACCCATTGCACTCGCGTGTACTTCATGCTTTGGTCATGAAAGAGGCTTTAGTAACATTCAATATGTGTGCACCTTGCATATCTTCACATCACCTCTATAAATGATCTCGGAAGTAAGGCGATAGCATTCAAATATGTGTTTGGACTTTTGGTGCGACCTAACCTCCTTAGCTTTTGTGATGGCACCACTATTTATTGTAACAATAGAGGTTCAAAGGACTAGGCACACTAGGAACCACACACAACTCAGAAACAAACTTCCTAAAGAAAATGACCTCTTTAGCAACTTCTTAAGATGTGATGTAATCGGCCTCTATCATACAATCAGCCATGGTTTCTAGCTTTGTACTTTTAATTTCTAGCTTACCACCCCTCCATTTAGGAACAACAAAACCCAGATTTTGACTTGCTATTATATCTATTAGTTTCAAAGATAGCATCCATATCACCACTAACAACGAGCTCTTCCTCACCACCATAAACCAAGAATGTATTATTAGTCCTTTGTAAGTACTTGATGATATTCTTTACAACCACCAAGTGAGTCTCATTGAGGTTAGATTGGTACTTGCTCCTAACACTTAGGACAAAAGAAAACATTTATGCATGTACAAAGCATGGCATATATGATGGACCAACTACCGATGCATATGGAATCACACTCATCCTATCTTGCTCATTAGGTGTTGAAGGACACTGAGTATCTCTAAGAGAAATGCTAGGTTACATACTTACATTGGCAAGAAACTTTCCTTGGGTTCTTGAACATTGAGACGTTTCAATACCTTGACCCAAAGTAGTAAAGTTGTGGCCGTCAAGAGCGAGAGCCTCAAACTCTTTGCTAGCCATGGTTCCTACATATGTGATGCCATAGACTTGATTAAAATCTTAGGCAAAGTTGTAATAAGTAAATGACAAATACGAATAGTCAAGGTAAACTTAAATTACATAAAGGGATATTCTCTTTTATGTAATAAAGGTAATCACCATGGTGGTGTAGACCTTATATAATTATTTTTTCATTATTGGCTATACTCGTTGAGGATTAAAATACCGGAACAGTACTATAGTACAACCTTGTGGATGGCCAATATGAAAAAAAAAATCAATGGTTTCACATCTAGGTGCATTCCTTGTATAGTTTATAATCAAATTGGGTACAGACGTTTAGGAATAAATCCCGCAACATTACTATGGTACTACCATGTGTATGACCAATTTGAGAATAAACCAACGTGGTCACCATTCTGAACCAAAATTCCAAAAGAGAGAAAATCAACTAAAAAGACATTTGCATAAAGAATGTGGAAATATATTGCTATTGGAAATGCCGAAGGCATCGCTTTGAACAATATACCCAACACAAAACACATGTTACAGGGAATTGCAATACGCAACACTTTGAACAAGTACTAAATTTGTAAAATACAATGCAAGGTAACGGTATGTACAATGCAAGGTAACCCATATGAACAATGCAAGGTTACATCAGGAGTCTAAATAGTAAGTAATTAGACTAACAATATTGATAAAACATAGTAAAATACTTTTAAAAAATAGTACAAATATTGCTGAAAAATTAAAACTAAAGCTTCAACCTAGGCCTGGGCCAGCATTGGCCCATCAGAAGGGGGCAGCGACATATATAACCCGGCGGTAACCGCCCTCCACCAGGTAACCACTGTTGTTGGTGCAAGCCTGGCCGGGGGCTCTAGCCACCGGGAGCAGCCAGTCGCGATCGCAGGGCCACCAGTTGCGAGCGCGGGGCCGCGTGCATGCCTGGCCACGAGGACTGCCCACTCGAGAGACCAGTTATCGCCGGAGCAGCTCCTAGGTGCGGAGTTGGGCCGCAACAGGGGGGGCCCCAGCCGCGGACGCGAAACCACAACAGGGGTCGCCAGTCGCGTGTGTCCGACCGTCGCTTGCCACCGTGGGAGCCTGCCGCGGGCCATCGTCCGCCCCTTCCCCCACTCAAGGTGCTCAGGCTGTTGAAGGGCCCCCTCATCCTCATTAGAGGAGAGGTAGCCGGTGTCGCCTCCGTTGGCATGGCTGTTGGGGAGGTTCTGAGCTCAGGGCTCGTGGGGAACCTCGATCCACGTGCGACGGTGTCCGGCCGACAGTTCACAACAGTGGTGGCATTGGGGCGTGCCGGAGCTGCAGGAGTAGGGATGGGCGGTGGTGGAGGTAGAGCAGCCAGCACCACATAGATGGTCGAGCTGCTTGAAGAACTTTTTTTCCCACACGAGGAACCCCATTTCCATTAATGCATAGCAGAAATACATATGGGGAGTAAGAAAGAAAGCAGAAGCATCTGATCAGCTAGACATAACAGACCAACAGCACTTAGCTCACTTCAGAGACTAACAAAGCAACCCACTACTCTAGAAAACCAACCAAGTATAAGACCATCATCACCCATACATATGGGGATTACAAAACCTGTAGGTAACTGAAAACAGACAGAACTGACGAGAGAACTAAACTATTAGAACCACCAGCTTGAGCCATGGATTAGATCTGCAGAG